AAGGAAGAGGAGAGAAGTAGTCACCCCTGGAGAGTACAGTAGTGTGGCTGTCAGGTGAAGCATTTGGAAAACCAAATCCAGGTCTATGTTCTTCATAGGTCAAAACAGAGGGGTAAGGTTTCTCCACCTTTCCATGGGAGTTCCTTAGTCCTTGAGCTACCCTTTTACTTCTGTTGCTTCTCATGAAAACCTTTGGAAGATGTCCTTTTGTTTTCCTGTGAACAGAAGCCCTTTGTAAGTCTAGAAGGTTTACAGGACAAGATATCGTGTCCTGTCCAGCTTGTTAAGAGTTCTGCTTTTTGGTTTTGAATGTCCTTAGCAGTTTGGTTCCAAACACACTGTTTCCCTCTGCAGAGTTTCTGAGAGCACAGTTCTTTCATGGATGCTTGGATTTACCTTCTAGAACTTAGTCCCATGCTGGCTAAGAATGACTGCTTCCCCCATCGCTTTCAGAAGCAAGTACAAAATTTAGGATTTTTATTTCATCTGTACTTCAGTAAGTGTTTCTGATGCCTGTAGAGCCATCCTGCTGCATATTCACACATGCCAATATAAACAAAAAGCAAAAGGTAGAATTTAAATGTTGTTCTGGGCAACTTATAGAAGGAAGAGGAAAAAGCCTTTTCTTTCCATCATCACAGTAGATGAACTCTTGACATTGCTGATCTCAGTTCTAGAGTTTACCGTGGAAAGGAGATGTAAATGCCGAGCTCAAGACACCTGTTCTGGAAGTATCAGTAAGTGAATGTAAAGTGCATAATTGCTTCTGGGCTTTTTAGTGATATTAATTTTTCCACTAATGCGAGCATTTGTGAAAAATATTTCTCCCCCCATTAGGTATTGCTTGTTAATTTGCATAGTCATGAGAGCAGAGGCTATGTGTGATTTTAATGAGGGAATGGTACAGAAATGAATGGAAATTAATTCTTTGAAGGAAGAATTTTCTGAGTTATAATGTACTTATAGACTCACTTGATTTGTTATTACTTGAGCTGTTCCAAGGAGTGTGATTTCAGTGGTGACTAAGATGCCTGTCCTATTTCCTGAGGGAATGAGATGCTCTCTGGTCAAGAGCTGTGAAATATTCCCCTTTCAGGACTCACTCTCAGTCTGAAGCAGTATGGTGCATTGAACATGTTACCCCCTGACAGGTCACCACTGTTCTTTAATCACTCTTCTTTGGAGAGTAATTTTCTCTGAGTTTCCTTTGTTAGGAGGGTGGACAGAAGCTAACAGTGAAACTTAGCTTGCCTCCCACAGTTCTTCCTAATCCTTGAGACTCCTTCCCAGTTTGCAGTCAGGACACACTAGTGAAGGGGTGTAGGAAGGTTGTTTGCTATAGAAGTTCTGTAACTGAGTGGTGTACTGATTGAAAATAAGTGTTCAGAAATTAGAATTTCAGGCCTATGAAGGCTTAAACATTTATTGCAATCCTCACAGTATGTGATGGGAAGTGGACAGTTTTTTGTGCTTGGTTTTTGCCTTCAAAATCCTACTTAATTAAATAAGTAAATAAAAGTTTTTGTTCTCATTTAAAAACATATCGTGAACTTAATATGTACTCACTTTTAAGAACTTACATTTTGAAATTGGTTGGTATTTTTGATGACTTAGAGTGGCAGTTTCACAGCAATGCCTCGCAAGCGCTTCCCAGAATAAGCTCACCATATCATGACTGTATTCTATATTGCCTTTTATCTGTTTTAAGACTATTTGCATGAATCTGCAATAGTAAGATCAGAGTCTTGCTCTATTTTAGGTACATGTTTGGCAGGGTCTTCAATTTGCTTTCAATGTTGAATTTCTTCACTTTGCAGTGTCTGCCTCAAACAACTGACATGTTCACAAAGATAATGTTTCCAGTCAGAATGTTTCCCATAAGCTTTTAACTTTTTTCTGATACTGTTCTCTACATGTATAAATATTTATTGCAATAATTCTGTGTCCATACAGCAGAGAAAATTATATTTATGGCTTAGGAGAAGCTTTAGAGGCTTTGTTTTGGTCATTTTTGAAAAATATTAAGTCTCCATATTTTCTGGATACATAACAGTAATGGATTCAAGCTGTCCTGCTTACTGATAGCATTTTCTGCGTGTTTGAGGATTAGCTCTGCAGTTTTTTTTGAGTTTAAGTAGCATTTTGACCTTGCTTTTGCTTACAATGCCAAAACAAGATCATACAGAATGGTGATTTCTGCTATTTAGTGGCCAGCAGGGCTTGCTGATAACGAATATGAATAGCTCAGACATTGAATAAAATCTTATTAAAAATCTTATAAAATTAATTTCAGATTCTTAATGAAAATCAGGTTCTTAAATCCAAGACTGTGTTAAAAGAAAAAAAAAAAAGAAGCAATTCCTCACCACACAAGGCACACAATGCAGTTTCTCACTGTAAACCTGAAGGTGCTGATGATTGATACTGGTGACTAAATAAAAAAATCTAATGGTGCTTTCTTTGGTTGTTCACATAAATACATTACTTCCCTGAGACAAATAATTTAGAAATTTTGGAAGTTTTACTTAAATGAAAATTGGTAACTTCTGTGGCAACTGCTACCAGGAAAATATAGTTGAAAACAATGCTATAACATGAAAAAGTGGCATGTAGTAATGCAATTATATGTCTTCATGTTATGAAGAGGCATTGATTAAATATGGTGCATCTATTTTATTTCATCCATCAAGAGTCTTTTTCTGGAGGTAGTACTTGAGAAATGCCCCATCTCTGGGAGTGTTCAAGGTTGGATGGGGCTTTGAGCAATCTGGTGTAGTGAAAGGTGCCCCTGCTGTGACAGGGGGTTTGGAACTCGGTGATTTTTAAGGTCCCTTCCAAGCCAGACCATGTGGAACAAGTTTTACAGCAACTTCTGTGAGCCAGAGAGAAATTTGATAAGCGGATCCATGTTTACCCCCAAAAGAATTTCCTACCAAGATCATTGACATAGAAATCAAGAAAGAAAAAAGGATTAATAAGAGAAACCTGCAACTGCCTATTCCAATATGCACCTTGTTTGTCTTTTGTGACCAATGAGTAAAGTGTAAACTTAGGAGTTTTGTAAGAATATATAAAAAGCATGCATGCTATAATAAAAACAGGTTTGAAACCTTCTGAAAATGGAGTGTGTTGCTTTGTATTTTCTCTGTCTCAACTATGACAAGACCGTTCTATGGTTCTATGAAACTGGTCTGTTTTTCTTTTTAGACAAGCTCTTTGGCAGATAATTGCTTCTCTATAGAATCCATTCTTGACAAGGTGATGGTCAGACAAATCAATTGATCAAATATCTTGTTGTCCAGTAGTATGAGTGTGAGATTGAAGTTGAAATCAGTCTGCCAACCCTTATTAGTCCTTATTGCCTATATAGAAAAACCAGGACTGAGTTTTGCCATAAGACAGAGTTTGTTCTGATTTGCATTTCTCCAAAACGATGGCAGTGGCAGTAATGACGCAAACACATCCAGCTTAAGCAAGGGCCGGAAACCAGGCTAAGTCCCTAGGGAGTTTTCATGCTGGATGCTGCACGTAAAAGATGAGCTTAACTCTTGTCAAAGGCTGCAGTGTGTGCTGTACAGATAATACTGAAGTTGGAGTAGCTGATGCTAATAAGGTTTCCAGTGTTGCACAGCCTTCTGCACAGAGAGAAATAGAAACTTTGCATCCTTCACGGGGCACTGTGCTGCCCCCATGGCATAAGTGTTTCTGCAGTACAGTCATACTGTGTTTGCAGTGTAGGGAGTACCATAAGAGCTGACAGGATGGTGGGGCATTTGACATGATGCTAAGTACTAGTATTCATCACATGGTAAAATTCTGAATTTGTTCTTCATTATCTCATTCTTTTCTGATGTTGCTTCTCTTAGAACTTCAACCTGCAAAAGCGCTTAGTCCTAAATCAGTGGTAAGCTGAAGATGCTGGAAAATTATCATTCTTTTCCTGCTGGTGTTTTAGAATAGTCATGGAACTTACAGAACTTTTGTCTTTTTGGTTATTAAGTGGTCTTTGTAACAACTGAAATGCTGCACTTTTCTAAAATCTGATGTACTGAAGAGGCCCACCTGGCTTTAAGTTAAACTACCAGTGGTTCCTCAACGTTTAAAGTGTATAAGCGTGCAGATATGTGTGAAGTGTGGAAGTCTGTGATAAGACCGTGATTGCCCATAGGAATAGCAGTCAGATTTAGAGGAGATGTGGGAGTTAAAAATTTAGAGCTCAATCTAACTATTCTAGATATCAAATAACTGATGTTGCATCAATAACTAACAAACATGTGCCACTAAGAGGAATGAGAATTGCACATTGCCTTGCCTTTGTTCTTGCTTTGGTGGGGGCTGGTGTCCTCTGAGGATGAGGCATGGAGAGAAGCTACTAATGTAGTTACACTTCTGGAATTACTGCAATCCATTTTTGTCATCTGCACTCCTTAGGGGCAGAAAATGAATTGTAAATGAGGTCGAGCTATTTATGCTTTATGTAAATTTCAGGAAGTTAGGTAGTGAATTAAACTAATGTTGTCTTTAACTTGACTATATTCATCTCATCATTAAGAGAAATTTAGATATGACTGTTTAGGAAGATGTTTCCTTGTAAAATATATAGAAGATATATTAAGAGTCTGCAATTTAATTGTAGGTGAACACTATTTTTTAATGAAAGAAAGTAAATCAAATACTTTGACTAAGTTGGGAAGTCTGACAACAATTTCAGCAGCAGTCTGTGCTTCATGAATGATAAAATCTGGGTAAGTTATGAGATTGTCTGGAAAACTTTCATGATCCAAGTTCCATCCCATTTAAAAGATGATAGCTAACAAATGAAAAGATGTCACCAGCTGTGGTAGGCAGGAGATAATATGCAGAGTGTGCAAGTCCATTTACAAGTGATTTTTTTTTTACTTTTCTGATAACAAAAGAAGGAAGCTTTTTATTTGTGTATTTTTTGTATAGACTATGTATGCTTTCTGTAATAGCCAATTTTGCCCCTTTTCTTCTTCCAGAGTCAAGATGAGAGATATGCTTTCATTGCTGAATGGTACGACCCAAATGCTTCACTCTTTCGGCGTTATGAACTTCTGTATTATCCGAAAGATTCATCAATTGAAATGGTAAGGATGTAAGAAAAAATCTGTTGCCATAAATGTAGTATCCAATTAAATAGTTCATAAAATGGCAAGTCACTGCCTATGCCTAATAATTTTCCAGGTAAGAAAATTTAATTTAAAATGTATCTTGCTCTGTTTCTAAAATGAAAAGAAAAGCAAGTGAAGCATATGGAATAGCTTCTGCATTTATGATTTTTTTTTTTTCTTTCTTAAAGCTTGCTTTGGTGTGGAGAGATTATTTTCATAAATCTGTTTTCATTCAGTCTCTACGTGGGTTTCAGAATTGAAACTCAGCAACTCTGGCCTACTGCTTGAGAAGAGTAAGCTGATGCTAATTCCAAACGGGAGACTAAGCTTCAGCAGGAATTCCAGAAGTCTCTGAAGAGTAAACTGTAAAAGGGTCTTACTAAAATAGAGAAGATGGTAAATTTTGTTTAATGAGAGGTAGGACATTTCAGACAGTGAGATCCAAATTTTTTCATCAGTGGTGCTTGCACAGACCTTTTTGACTTGTCGTTCATACAACTAATCCCATTGCTTATTGACAGCAGTGAAAACCAGCATTTTGCAGTAGCAGGCATGTGTATAAAAATATAATATGTACTGTAAAGATAATCCTCATGCCAACCAATGCTTTGTGCTTCCTTTTAGGAATGATTAAATGGTAGGGATTAGACTGTTCCAATTCTTAGTGAAGAGTCTAAGAATAGCCTAGATTTAAATTTTCACACTTAGGAATTTCATTATCAAATTTTAACTTTCCTGCTATAAAAATTGACTGCAGAAATAAGAAATCTAGAGGAATTGGCTTTTTCTTACCCAAACTGCTCCTCACTGAAGCAGTAATACCCAGTTGTGTGAAAAGATGCACTTTGCACTGATTACCAAGTTAGGTCTTTGTATGATGTCTGTATGTGAACAGTTTTTAAAATGTGAGGTTTCTAATTTTTATTTCCCAGAAACAGTGTAGCTGATCAGTCAGGAACTGTAATAATCTTCCTACACAACCATGTGTAGGCTGGCAAAATTGTTGTTCATTTCACCTACATGTCTCAAAACCAAGAGCTTCCAAGGTGTTCTTGAGCTTCTTAATGCAGTACCTGTGTCTTGGCAGACTTTTGCATTTTTTTGGTGTGCTCTTAGGTTAAAGTAGTGTGGTGTGTACATGGCCATAGACTGCATGTGGGCAGCACAGGCATTAGAAGAACAAAAATGTGAACACCCTTAGAGAAATAATATCTCAAAATCACTTTTGAGGATGAGTTTGTGGACAGATATTACATTTAGAATTATTTTCTGGAGTTTTTTTAAATTTCTGCAGAACTTGGTGCTTTTTTTTTTTATTATTATTACTGCCTTATTCTTCTGCATCTTCTAGTACTTTCCTGTGCAGATGGCAACCTGTTCTTACCTCTAACATATCTGAGAAGGGAGGTGATGGTTATGAGCTAGCTTTCCCCCACGTATGAGAAAGATGTTTCATCCACTTCCCCCCCATCCCTGACAACAGCTCTCCCTTATCACACACCTCACCGAGGTGGAGCAGAGCTCTTGAAGGCTTGTGTTATATGAAGTCCTGAGCTTAACTTTTCTTTCTGTCCTTCATGTCTTGCTTGGTGAAGTAGAATGCCAGTGGGTATACTGAGAGAAGTTTCCAGCTTGCTTTGCTGCTGTAAGAAGACAGCATAGATTTTTGTCCAAGGACAGCAAGCAGTTCTTTCAGTCAAACTGGATCTCTTGACAGAGGCCCCATTCTCCAAGTTTTCCATAGATCACAACTCTCATGGGGAATTCTTAAAGACTTAATGTTTCTTTCTACAAGAGATTTCCTAAAAAGAGATAAGAAATCTTTAATAAGGACAGATTGTTGTCAGAGAACTATTTTGTTTTGGGTAATTTACTTCTACATGTATATGGGCGGGAGTGGAACAGTCCAAACAGTTTTATATTTCTTCTGCTGTGGCTTATCATTAAGTTTATAAAAAGGTTTTTTAAACATATTCAAAAGTCCACTCTAAAGAGGAATCCTTTAACACAGGTGGATCCCCTCTTCTTTTTGAGAAGAGAGAAGCACCTTGGGGTGCCTTTCTAGCAACCATTAGTGAAATAACCAAGGAAATACTCAGACTTTTGTTCAAGATACTGAATAATTTGCTTATGGTTGAGACAGGCTAATAGGCTTCCTGACAAAGTTCAGGTGAAATAAGTAGCCAAATTCAAGTTGGTTTCTTTGATTTTTTTTTAACCATGTTGTCATTTCATTCCCTACTGCACTTGAATAGTGAACACTTAGTAGGAGCATATATGAGGGGCTAAGGACATTTCAGGAGGGAAGGAGTCTTTTTTACAATCATACCTCAGCAGAAGGCAGTATCAAAATAATTTTCAGTTCTTTAATCTGCAAAGTTTTGGCTATCCTGAAAACAATTAGAATTCTTCTAGCCTTCTAACAGGACTGTATACTCACTTTTCAGAACATGAAATTTTGCTCTTAATTTTTTTTCCCCTCCCAAATTTGTGGGAATGATGTTCTTTCTTTTAATGCTGTTCTAATGGATACACCATTGCAGTAGAGGACAGCACCTGTAGGTTGAGACAGAAGGGGAAGTTTGGCCTGAAGAGGACAAAGCTCTTCCTTTCATAGGCTTCCACTTCCCCAGGAATTGAAAGGCATCTGTAATATCTACTTGCAGAGAAGAAACTGTTCAGCAGGTTGACTTCTGTGCTTTGCCAGCCCACCCAGAAAAGTACACAATAATGTCTGGCTTCTTGCTTGGAGTGATAATGCAACTGAATTGTTCTGACAGGCTTTTGAGCTTGCAGCTCTAGGCAGTGAGAACATCTTAGCCGAGTGTTGCAATCATCTCTCCGTCCCTAATGCCAAGTCTTATGCAGTCAAATAGCGTATAATATCACTGGAATGATGCCCTGAAGAGCAGACCTGCCAGTGTGTATCCTGCTTGTTCTGGTGTGAGCCACTGGGCTTGCAAAACAGCACAGATGTGCTGGGAGAACTCTCAGTGAAGCTGAGCAGAAGCATTCACCAGGAACCTGAACCTTTTATTACAGCTTGAATTAGAACAAGCAAATTACAAACCAGAAATTTTCAAAGATAGCTCTTAGCCTGAGACTGTTTAAATGGAATAAATTTGTAATTGTGGTTTAGACTTTTAAGCTTTCTTGGTATACCTGTAAGTTCAAAGAGCTTGGAATTAAGTTGATTAAGTGATCAGATTCAATCCCACAGTACTATAGAAATTTCTGACAGTAAAGATTAAGTTGAGTTTGCCCACAACTAAGTCTCATGCTTAGGTAGATTTTAATCTTGTTTTTGCTGCAGTACGATGTGAAGAACCGTCGCACGTTCCTGAGGCGCACCAAGTATGAGAGCTTGCACCTTGAGGATCTCTATGTGGGCAGCAAAGTCACTGTGTTCTCCCGGCACCTCACCATAGTGGACTATGGGAATCTGTACACGTCTCGCAAGCTTGGGAGCCGTGAAGAAAGGTGAGAAGGGAGATTTTGGAATCTTGTGGTTGGGGTTTCGAAGTAGATGTTTGCTAGAAATGAGGTTTCTGTACTAATGTGGGCAGAAGAGGAGATGGCTGCATGTTTGCATGCAGTCTGGAGGGATCTGATTTTCTCATGACTGCCGAGAAGCAAAGTGGTACATGCTTGTGGTACTTCAGATTGTCTATGGTGTCAGCTGCTGGCTCCTCTAGGTATCTTGGGAGAGAGGAGGGGGAGGAGGAAAATGGGTTCTATTTGGCTTTGTTACTCAGCCAGGGCAGGCAACAGTAGGGTTCTTTTGATTTGTGGATTCTCCTGGGGCAGAATTGATATGGTAACTAATGTGTGCTGGGCTTGAAAGGTCTGGACCTTGTGAAAGTTGCAGCTGTCTCTCTGGAATATGTGCAGAAGCCTAGTGCCTCATTAGTCTGATCTACTTGCTGTTAGTAGTAATAAATGAAAATACTAGAGGACCACTCCCATTCTCTGTTGTTTTTCCTCACTATGGAGGTTTTTTCTGAGAATTTTTTTCAGATTCTCTGAATCTCTGTGTGCGTGAGAACAGAAAGTACAGTGTAAGAATGTTGGTAAAAATTACAGGCTTGTTTATTTATAATGGATGAAGATAAGACTCATATTTTTGATTTAAAGACTTGCTTTGGAAAAGACTTTGAGAAGCCATTTGAGAGCACATATCAGGACTGAAAATATGAGGACACTAAGGTTAATTTACAAGAAATTTACATCTGGTTTAATGGCAGTGCAGGTAATCTCTGAATTTACAAATTAATACACTTCTATAATCTCCTCCAGCCTTTTTGAAAAGAACACGGAACATTTTCTTAGGTATGATATTCCAGAGAGTCTTAATCACTTGCTCTCTTGCTCCTTCCCAGTAAATGGGCTTGTTCTGAATGCTTTTTGGAGAGTTGTACATAACCAGACATAGAAGAAGAGCTGCATGTTTTAACACACATCTTTGTCTTAACTGCACAAAAAAAATTGCTGTGAAAATGCCTGCCATTATGTCTTTCCAGAGGTGTTCTGGTACTTCTCTAAGCTGGGGTTGGGCATGATGAAAGGGCAGCAAAGGAGGTCAGGAACACAAAGGGATGGATTCTGTATATGTGGGTACTCTTTCTGTTCCTCAGTGCAGCTTTGGGTAGATTATAAAGATTTGGTAGATCTTTATATCAGTGTAAAGTTGTATATTTCCTGCTCTGCCTAAACTAACATAATGCCTCGTGCTCTTGCAGTGCTCCTGCAGTTATACCAGGAAAAGGCAGCTAATGATAAAATGACATTTTTTATTGTAGGAAGCGTTGCAGTCTACATGGCAACACTGTAATTGTGTTGGTCTTAGGAGGAGGCAAATTTTTGTACTGCTCTACAAAAGGAGGAAAAGGCATTTATGACATGTCAGCTGTTTGGAAAACATTTTAAGAATGTTGGCTGAAAGATAACATAGATATTCAAGTGGTTTTGCACATTCAGAATAGCCCAAAGGAATGTGCCTTACTCAGGCAAGGGATCCTCCAAATTCACTTTCTTCACAGAAGCTTTCACTGGGGAAATAGGGTCATATTAAAAAAGTTTCCGTGAGCAAAACAGTTGCATGTGAGTTATTTGTCTTTTTGGCCTATTCATAGCAGGTTTTACAGCAGTTATTAGATGTCATAAGATTTATGCAGTGCGTGATAATTCCCAAAATAATCTGCAATTGGAATTATATTAATAATTTGAAGGTTGCTGTATGAAGCAAAATGTTTCTCTCTTTTTTTTTTTTTTTCTGTTGTATTGTACGGGACTATGGCAGATCAGTTTGACTTTGGAAATACATTCTTTGGTCACTCAATGTGTGCTCAGACAGGCTCGGTAGAGGCTTTTGAGGGAGACTGTGGAGTGAATATAAAAAAAAATCTCGAATGTTTTGAGTTAGGAACCTTTATTTTTGTCAGCAAAACAAGTAAATGTGACTCTAGGTACATGAGATACAAAACAGATGCGTAGAAAAAGGCTAGATTTGCACAGGCACTTTCTAGAATTAAGCTAGAATTATTAAGACAGTTTTATTTCAGTTTCTATCTCTACTTTTCTTAAGTCTTGGGTCTGTTTTTCAATATTGTTGTGTGCTGCATTTCTGTTCTCTTCCCAGTGTATCATAAGAAAACTATCACAAACAGTGACTAAAATGGTTAGATCAGCATGTGCTTACTTACAGTGTGCGACATAAGGCATCACTGGCAGGGAACAGGGCTTTCTCTTTCTCTATCCTTTCACTTGTGATCCTGGATGGTTGTAACCTGAAGTAAACATGTGTCTGGCCAGTGTGTCCTGCTTAAATAGGCATTACTTAGAGTCAGTATCACTGCTGTTGAAAATGATGTTAGAAAACTTGTGTGTCACCCAGAAATACTTAAGTTCTGTTTTGAGTGGGATATGTTATGCTTCTAATCATTGACATAATCAGCATTTCTTCCCCTTCAAGACATAAGCTACTGTACATGCAGCAGTCCTATTATTAGAAGTAAGTAGGTCTCAAAAGCATAGTCACAGCATGCGTTGTGCATTGTTCCTTTGATCAGTTCTCATTTTCTGTCGTTTCAGTACTCATTGCAGTACTGTCACACAGTACTCTGAAAATGAGCTTAATTTTCCTTCTTTCTCCTTGGCTCCTAACTAAGCTGTTTTCAAATCTACACTGCAGACTGCATCATGCCAAACCCCATGAAACGTATTCCTAATTAAAACTAAAAATAGGGCATATGAATCAAAATCCAATCTCAGAAACAGTCCTCAGCATCCTGAAGTCTGCTTTTTGTATCCTGCTTGCTTCTGAAACGTTAAAGTTTAAATATCAGTGTTATTGCAGTTTGTATTAATGTCTTCTAGGTAAATTGCTTTATCATGCAATATTTCTTTGCAAATTTGTAGGAATTACACTATTACTAAAACTCTTGAAATTAGAAAAGCAAGGGACAATTTATTTCTAGCATTACCAGTCTGTCTCAAACAACCTGTGTAATAACATAAACTCAAAAAAGTGTTCCTTGAGGAAATGCAAATGGTGCTGGAGATCCCATTCCAGAGGTTTGATCCTTATTGTTGGTGGTAAATGACAGTACTGAGAACTTCTTGTACCAGCATGCAGGTCATGCATTGTGTGATTCTCATTGGTCAAACATTCAGCTGCTCCTCCTCATGGGCCTCAATTCACGAGGTACACCCTGTGATATGATAAATAATATCATAAAATGAGGGAGAGCTGTGAAATCCTTGGGGAAGAGGTGCCCAGGCTCTAAGGCTGCATGGAGTATGCTGGCAAACTGTTCAGTGTTGGTGAGCGGTCAGCTCTTCCTGATCTGAAAATGCAGTTAAACCAACTTTAGCCTGCACTGCAGTGGACTGAAGCACAGTGTTAGTTGACTGCTTCCATGCAGTTTCTGGCTGCAGCCTTAATTCATCAGTCTTTTTGTATCGTTCTTCCCAATGGGTTTGAGCCTGAGGTGCTCTGTGTATGGGAGCTTTGTGGTGCTTGAGGAAATTTGTTTGTTTTGGAGCTCTGAAGGTCATCTACACCTCTCCCTTAATTGCAGATAAAATGTCTCATATGTTCAAATCTTCCTGATTACATTTCCTGGTCCTAACACCTCCCTTGCTCTGCATTTGCTGTGAAATAGTCTGTCTCTTGCCAAAGCATCTGTCAATCTGAGGTCAGTTAAGGTTCAGAGCAAATGTAGTGGAAGTTCATCCATCTCCTATAATCTCAGCATATTTGCCCTGACTGGAATATGTTGCTGCTAACCTAAGGGCTGCTTTCCATGCTATGCTGGTATATAAAATAGGAAATTTGCAATTATTTGTCTTTCATTCAAGGAAGTACTGCAATAAAAATTCCATCTTGGAGAACCTTCTTTATTGGAAACAGTGTAAAAGATGGAAGCTGCTCTTTAGGATTGTCAGAGACGTGGCGCTTCTGAGATGCAGGGTTGAATAAATCTGTTGGTTTGTAAGCCAAGCACATTTGAAGCTGACTCACCACAAGATAAATGCAAATAGAAAATGAAATTTTACAAATCTTCTTTCGGTGCTTGTTATTTTTGATTAATAATATGTTTTGTGCTGATGGTGTTCTTAGTGCTATGCAAAGCTCACTAATAAAACAGTCCTGGCCCTGGGGATGTACAGTGTAAGAAGATAATTACCTAGAAGACAGGATGTACTTGGAAACAAAGATGTGGGGGAGAGTGTAGAGATTTTTGGGTTTATGTCCCTTAGAATATAGAATATAGCTGTCAGTCAGTATAAGAGATTAAAAACCTCCTCTTCCATCCTTTTATTGTGTCTATTAACAGTCTCAGCTATTTGGCATGCACATTCTATACCATGAAGTTTTTATACTGTACCAAGGACAAGAGGATCTTCTTCTCATAGAGGACTTCAAGTATTTTAGAAGTATTAATAAAACAATTATTTAACTTCGAGTTTTATGGAAGAGGCACATATTTAAGTAATATTTTTAACAGGAATTTTAACAGCTTCAATTTTATTTGTATGATTAACATTAGGGAAAAAGGGAGCTGAGCAAGCATAGGGAGAGATTAACAATTCAGTTGTGTTCTGACCCAGACTGAGGAGCTGTTGAGATACCAGTTATCTAAGGAAGAAGTGGTCAAATTGTGTGCTCTGAGAGCAAAGGGAGAAGTTGGTAAATAATAACTGCTGGTTGAACATTGTGAGCTGACTTGGGTTAGAAAGCCAAGGAAATTAAAATGTGCAAAGCTTGTTCTTATCAGAATAATGTGTTGCACAGGCATTCAAGAACTACATGGAAATTGATGAGACACTGGGACAGTGAATATGTGACAGTGACAAAATTTTTCTCTTTGATGTGCTGTTTTTTTTGTCTGAATATGGACCAAACATGCACACCAAATGCTCTAAGGAAAGTTATGTTGGCTGTACCTCTCTAATATATTTTTTTTCCTCCCTAGAACACTGGCTTTGATTAAACCTGATGGAATGCGTAAGATGGGAGAATTATTTGATATCATTATTAATGTTGGATTGACAATAACTAAGGCCAAAATGATGCTGCTTTCAAGGTAAGGATTTTTTAAGGTCAGCTCTATTGTATCTAAATATTTTTGCAGTTAAGAATATTCTCTAAAGCTATTCTGTGTTGTTCCATGCATCATATCCGTTTCAGTGAGTAAGAGAGGTAACTCACGAAACTCATCAGTTTCATAGTTCTGTAGATTTCTGAAAGTATTTAGAGATTTAAGCTAAGTATTAAAAAGTGCTGTGCAAATGAGTATGGGTGATGAAATATGTCATGTCTGTATGAATCCAAGGTGGCTACCACAGCTTTAGAAATCCAGCAGTGTTTACTACTGACATGTCTGTATGTCCTCACCTCAAGGCTTCCTCATACAGATGGCATTGCTCATTATAATAATGTTGTCTTTAAAGTATTTGGTTTGCTTGCTCTCAGTAAATCTGTTGTCTTAATTTTTGCTCTCAGATTTTTGCTGAAAGGCCTAGGCAAAGCAAGTGATCTTCTGATGGTGCAGGGTTGGACAGGTTTTACTCGTGCATCTTCCTAATCCCCCAATCTTCAGTGTTCTCCACTTCTTAATGAGCCCCAAGATGTAAAAGAAGGCATGCTTTAGAGGAAAGAGAACATAAATTATTTTATCTTAGGAGACTTTCCCAAAGTTACTGCATTAGTTCTCCATTGCTGCTTTGCCAAACCTATTCATATGCGTCATGTTTTTGGAAAGAAAAGCTATCTGTCTTACATAATACCATTTTCATGTATTCTTATTTTTATGTGTGAGGTCAGCAACAATTTTCTTTCATTTCAGAACCTTTTTGGCTTTCTGAAATACTGATGAAATAACTATAAGACTTCCTCCTCTTGTCTCTGCTTGCATGTGCTGCAATATCTGATGGTACTGGTCCCATATCCTCCACCCAACAACTCCACGAGTTCAAACATGTTTCTAATGTTTCTTTGCAATTCATAATGTCTTTCAGGCTAGCTTTTTTTTTTGCTTCCTCTCTCCTGCAATATGAGAGATTTGATCCTGAAGTGTTCTTTTGGGTGATGCTTTATTTGAGTGATGTCTGAGAAGTCAAACTATTGAGCCAAGTCATGTGATTTAGTGTTGACTCATGTTGAAGAGAAGAAATGGAGACTTGAACTTTTACTGCCTACTGCAATATAAAAATTTCTGGTTGTCTTGTATAATTGAAAGTAATTATTAATAGGCACAAGAATGGGCTGTGATACTGAATGAATTTAAATAGTGTCTTGAGTGTTTTGTGGTTTCTCTGCATACTATCTACTCCGTTTCTTGGGACTGTGCCATTTTAAAGTGATAGAACTATGGCTTTGCTAAAATCTTCTACCCTTAGATTTCTGCAGGGTTGCTTGTTCAAATCATCATCATCGTCTACTGCCTTCTTTAAAGTGATTATTAACAACATTTGTCTGTCAATCACTGTTAAGTAGATTCATGCCTTCTGTAAAAGTTGTAGCCAAGATATGAAAGTGTGGGCAGGCACTTGCTTCATCAGTCTCTTCCTTTAATTCTGTGTCAGTTCAGTCTGTTATACATAGGTGAACACTGTTTTCCATTATTTGAAAACAGATAACTAATAATAAAATTAAAAAGGAACCAAGTTACACAACACAACTGCACTTTGATATTTATTTCAGTGGGAATTGTTAACTGAGTGGTAGAGCTCAATTCGTTTCAGAAACAGACCTCTCAAAAACTTCTTTGCAATCAGAAATGGTAATACTTAATCTCTTCACATACCTTTTTCATATTTGCTTTCCAAAATTCTTTGGTGAATTAATTTCAGAAGAGCATTATCTGGTGAAATAATGAATTGTAGGCAAACTTTTTGCAGAGTATGGGCTTGAAGTATGAGATTGCAAGAGTTCCTATGTCTAACATAATTTTTACATCATGCTTCTGCCTTAATTTGAAATGGAAGGGAAGCAAATTTACTGTATGGTTGATAAAAATATTTTGGATTTTGAATGGCTCATACTTTTACTGAACTAAAAGCAACAAACCAGGAATTACTCAGGTTGTTTTGATAAAAAAGCTGGAGAAAAATGTTACTGTTCAAACATTGATAAATGTTAAGAAAATTAAATTCTTCTTATGTTCTTCTTGATGTTATTTCTTTCCTGTGGCAATATTTGGTTTAAGTCTGGACTGTAAATGGGAGAGAGGTGTCAAAAGTTCCATTTCAGATAACAGAACTATGCCTTTGTTCATACTTGGAATCTGTTATTTGAAAAATATGTAGGAAATTTCTGTCAGTAAAAGAGAGCTGCTGAAAATAAGCAAACTCATGAAGACCAGAAAAAATCAGAAGACTGTGCTGCAAGTAGAAACAACTTTCCAATTTGGAATTTCACCCTACAGCCCTGCTTTATTATGAACTCTGTACCCAGAGTAGAGGTCAGCAATATTGCTTTCTGTCACCTGTCAATCCTCTTGAAGAGCTTGTCCTTCTCTACAAATTCTGGCTTCAAAAAGTGACACACACCAGGATTTGGAGAAAGCCAATACTGAGCCTGTGTTCTCAACAGGAATTCTGAAGCTGCACAATAGCAGGTTTAGAACTGAAAAACTCCGTGGATTTTTCTAGCTGTTACTATGCAGAAAAAGCAGTTCAGTAAGCAATAGTAAAATATGAGAAGCAGTTGGGGAAGAAGACAGGGAAGAGAATAGGTTCGCTGGTGGGGTGAAAAGCCACAAAATGGTGTGTCCATTGGTGGATGGATGATAGCTCTGCACTGTGGTGGTCGCCAAAACCTGTGTAGCTGGGTAGCTGAGCCCAGTGCTGGTGGGAGCAATGCAGAGCTTGGGAAGCGCCACCACCCTGTCTGAAAAGGACGTCTTTTTGCTTCCAGCTCCTGAGGAAAGGCTGAGTAACAGCTGTGCTACAGACACACAGGGTATGCCTAGTAGCCTTTGTCTGGCAGTGTAAGGAGACCCGTCACTGCTGAAACCCCATTGCTTTGGAGGAAAGCATTGTGTAGTCACTGCTGTGTTCCCTGAGGAGACTGCAAGACCAAATTGAGTTTTGAAGTGTGAAAGTGTGGAAGAAATCCAGTTTTAATATGGAGGGCATTGTGCTGCCTATGCAACTTGTAAGATTTGAGGACACTGAGTGATATTTTGTTACACTAGCCTTGATAAAGAAGTATTCCAGTGGAGCAGATAAATTGTTTATGCTTTAAAACCATTCATTTACCAGTATTCCCGCTCAAACTGATGAATGATAAAACCAACATAACAGCAAATAAGCAAGAAGGTGATTCTGCTGCATTTATTTCTCAGCCTGAGAATGTAGGGACCATCAATGACCCTGAAATGGGCTTTAGTAAATCCTTCTCAGAGCAGGAGAACGAGGAGTTGTCAGCTGTACTGATAGTCACACAAAATATCAAATTTAAATGTAGTTTCTGTTTTGGGACATGAGCACCCAACAAGTTGTCCAGCTTAGGGAGACATTACCTGTAGAAATATTTATGAATGATATTTGATTGAATGATAATTATGGTTTTCAGGTGGGGTTTTATGTGTGTGTGTGTGTATGTATGTATGTATGTATGTACGTACGTATGTATCTATCTATCTATCTATCTATATATATATGTAACTATATCTGTGTCTTTTTACTTTTTCAGAAAAGAAGCAGCTGATTTCTATGCTGATTATCGAGCAAAACCTTTTTATCAGTAGGTATATAAATTTCAGCTTGATGTGTATTAAGCTTATTTATTGAATGCATGAAATTAATTTACCGTATTTGATGCCACAGGACCATCTGAAAATCAGAGCTTGTCTTAGTTGAGTGGAGCCCTTTGCAAAGCATGCATCTTTTTTTCTTCTTCCTCCAGGGAGAGATCCTTATTTCAGCTATTCAGGATTTTAACTCACACTTTTTACAACCCAGTGGTATCAGGGGAATGTCTTTTGTCTCTCAGGAGTGAAAATGCTCCTAGCAGGACAAAACTTCAAAGCCAAGAGAAGGGGTATCTTCAGGATCAGAGTGGAGCTTGCAGAATTAGGGGAAACACTTAGTTGTAAGAATTGATTTTGTAACAAGTATCCCAAATCATAAATAACTGAAAGGATAGTTCATGGGGTAGTTTTTACTGTACTGCTACCCTTGGACAACTGTCAAACTTGCATGATGCTAGACTGCTCCACCTGATGTGAGAAAGCCTTAGTCTTTCCATAACTGACCAGATGGACGCTCATGACCTATAGACTGAGCTGTTTCTACTTTCCCTGAAAGTGCCAGCAACTTTCTTTTCCTCCCTCTCCATTGTGCATTCTGCCTCTTTAGGGAGAAGTGCCTTGTGTTTTTCAGCCATATTGGTTGTGTGGGTTTGCACTGATGTGGTTGAAAGACCTGGTTTTAGTACTGTCACAAAGTGCTTGAGAATTAGCATTGCCAGCTGCTCTCCATCAACAGCAGCTGATTTGTTGTGGGTCTAAACTCAAAGCCCTTCAGAGAGACATGGCCCCAGGCTGTGTCTGACCGCATTGGAGGTCAGAGAATGCATGATTTGGAATTGCCTTTTCTTTGCTGAGTAAGCCTGCTTGATTATATTGATAAATAATAAGAATTTTGCCTGAAGTGTTATTTCACAGGTGTCTATATATACTAATGGTAATTGTCTGAGGAGCTGTAGCCTTTGTCCACTGTGATGTGCGTGTTTCCCATCCTACAGTCCTATTGGCTACCTCTTCTGTATAGGATTTTTCTCTAAATTAGAAATAAATAGCTCTCTAGAGCATTCCAAGTCAAGTAGAAACAAGAAATTTCAAGGCAGTAAAGTGTGAAATCTACAACTCGTTTATATTTGATGTTGTATCTTGTCTTTAAATTCAGATTTAGTTTGCAAGTTCACTAGTCAATGTAAGTCTAGTGAATAGTAAGGAAAAAATAACAATTCTATTGTTTGGAAAATAATGGTTTTCATATTAAATATTTTTTAAAAAAATAATATTCAAGGATTAGTCTGCACGGTAAATAGTGTTATAGAAATTGCTTTTTTCTTGGGTGTATGTATGTGTACTATTTAACTGTCCTAAAAAAGCAGACTCTGACCAACAGAACCTGACATCCAATTGCTTTTTATTGTGTTCTTTGTGTAACTTTTAATAGTTTTGACATTGTTTCTTTTTCAAAAAACTACTAGGATTTCTCTTCTCTTCTTGACCAGTGATCATTAGGAAGAAGGTAGTTGGAGAAGCATGCGCATCCACTGTTATAATTGTGTAAAGCTCTTCTTTTAAACAAAATAGTACAAAAACCAGGGTCAGTGTTTTCCTTGGTTCTTCTGTCCAGATTAAACAGTGAAAAAGACAGGCTTATTGGTATGCATGTTTTGTGAGGATACTGAATTATAGTTTTTGGTGTTTTGTTTGGTTTTTAAATGGAATGTTTGGGTTACCACTTTTGAGTGGTTGTTTTCTATTGTGAGGTGGTCAGGACGGGAGGCAGGCTGCTCCTGACAACCTCTTCTCCTTACTTGGATTCATCCCATTAAAATCTCAAGATGCCAAGATGTAATAACTCACCTTGTGAGTAAATCCTTTATCCCACACAGACTTTTCAACTCCTTCCCTTGTCTCCCACTTTGAACTTTAGCTGGGCAAAATCCATAGGAGAGATCTGTGGGGCAGTGGAAAATTCAGCTTGAAAACAGTGCTGGTGTTGTGTCAGTGGGATACACATCCAGGTCATGTATAAGAGTCGTGAAATGCTGCTGTGCAGAAGAGGAAAGCTTAGGACTCATTCCAGTCAGACAAGTGGTTACCAGGGTCTCTCTTTCACTGTTACCAGGACACCAGTGCGGATCCTTTAAAAATTCTTTTGAAATCTAAGACTCTTCGGAGTAGCTTGAGTGAGTTTGGGTTATCTACATGTTGTTTCTTTCCAACAACCATAATAAGGGAATGTCTGCACATGACCTCTTCCTCAAAGCAGAGTCAGCTTCAAAGTTAGATCAGGTATGCTCGAGGTCTTGCCAGTTTGAGTTCTGAGCATCTCCACTGGGTCATATTTTTGTTGGCTTTAATTTGTAGCATGGATCACCATGTGCTGTTTCCATTTTGCAGTGAGCTTCTCCAGTTAATAATGAGTGGCCCCATCCTTGCTATGGAGCTCTTAGGAGATGATGCAGTGAGTAAGTGGAGAGCAATAGTGGGGCCAGCAAACCCTGTGACGACTGAGAGTGATACTCTGGACAGCATCTCAGAAAGCTTTGGACATTGTGGCCTCAGAGATGCAGCTCATGGCCCAGATTCAGTTGCTTCAGCTGCTAAAGTAAGTTTTTTACTCTTTCTTGACTGAGGTTTATTTTTACTTTCATCTGCTAACAATGGGATTAGGAATTTCTCATTTTGTTTCCACAGTGGAGTCCAAAACTAGTTTACATATTCTTCATGTGCTCCTTTTTAGCATAGAAAAATAAACTGAAAACAGAAATCTTGTTTATCACAAAAGTGAATCTTGGATGCTTTGATCAGGAGAGCATGCCTGGTCATTTTTAATGTCTCCTGTACATCACAAACCGTGAGTTAATTGCATAATCTCTGTAATCTACCTATAGTCTACCAATGTTGGTCATAAAAAGAAAGGGATTAAACAATTAAATTCTTTTGTGCCCTCTTGTGTTTCACATATCTATTCTCCTTCACAGTTCTCACTAGTGCTCTGTTTGTAGCCTACTTTGCTATTATTGTTCAGAATGAAAAATTAAAAACCAGGCCACTTTGTCATGCTTTGTGCTTTGAGAGGTAACACACTGGACATGGCTTTGCGGAGTTTGGTTCTGTTTTGCTTTGTTTGCCATGTTTCTTTCTCAGTGCTAAGAAAAAGCCCCGGGACTGGGTAATAGATACTATCATTTCTATAGAATTAAGGTGACTTTTGTGTGCATTGTTGTGGGATAGATATGCTAATAAATGATGGCAAGAATAAAATTTATCTCATGGTTGATTGATGTGTCACTGTTGTGTCTCAGCTGCATACCAGTTTAGCTAGGAGAAGATACCAGTTGTTGCTTCCTTGATTCAAGTCTTCCCTCTGTTTAAATTGGAACAGCTGCAGTAGCACAGCTGGAGAGAGACCTGCCTCAGAATACCTAATGAGCTGCCAAGTAATATATGCTAGAAAATGTGCCCAGAGATCATACCCTGGTGCTGAGGGCAGAGCTGGGTAGCCTCCCCTTCTGATGCTGTTAGGCTGTGAGGTTGACTGCAAAGCACGGGCAGTTTTCTGCTGGCCAAGCACTCACCTTGCTGCTCTGCACTGTGTCTGAGCTGCTGGATCCTCTCTCTGTGCTTCAGGTTTTGGCAAGAAATCACATGGTGGACATGAAGAACTTTTTCTGTTGGCTGACTTGATGAACGTACTGCAGACTCAGAAAAAGTTTGGATAAGTGATCTTTTCTGGTGAAAGAGAGTTATAGTCAGCAAAGTCTTTGGAGTTCTGGTTAAATAGTTAGGTGTCTTCAAATATACAGGTGAAAGTTTCTATTTTTTCCTGTGTACTACCATGACAACTGTTCTAGCTTCTGAGCTGAGAGTGTAGGAAAGAGTATCTATTAGCATAAATTCTTGGTTAGAAGCATAAGTATGTGCTTAGGTTTTAGTTTGTTCTTGTTGCATTTCATTATTTTTGAAATGCTGTCTGAAGGCCCTGTTCATTGCACCATTTTTATGACACTGGGATTATTTTGCTGAACATCTGTAGGTGTGTGCATCTTTGTGGTGTTATTGATACCTATCTTTAATAAATCAAACAAAATTGTGAATTTAGTGCCCCTGTGTCTTTATTAATTTTGTAGGCCTAGTATTATATGGCTGTATAGCAGTTGCTATGGAAACTAGTTGGCTGTGCCTGCAGAAGTTTGCTGAAAAGAAGGAATTACAAGATAAAGGGACATAAATGAACTCTCTTGACAGAAAACTGAAGTCTCAACCACATTTAATGAATGTACTGTAAGATGAACAGTTAGAGTGGAAAGCTGCATTGTTCTTTTGATGGCTAAATAACAAGTGAAAGTATGTTTCTGATGCACTGTAAGCTGCTGTCTCTCTGCAGGCCAAATTTTGTAATTTCTTTAGATCAGGAATAAAGGGTAAGGAAATTTTATTTGGTTTTTTTTAAGGCTCCACAAGATTATAGTCTGGCCTTTCATTATGCAAGTCCTTCAGCATTATTGAGTTAATTTCCTTTTATGAATTTTAATGGATAAAACGAAGTGTTAACTATTACACGTATTTTACTGCCTTTTTCTGGCTGCTTCTTTTAGAGTAAATAGCAATTAAGAAAGTGCGACAAGTCCCTTAAATCATGCAGAATTTTTTCAGTAGAAGGATGTAAGGAATGAACCCTATTGTCTCAGGTATGCCCACTTAAAATGTGGATTATTTGCCAGCAGAAAAACAAAAGTGCTTTTTCCTTCTTTTGAAAGATCCATTGTCCAGGATCCAGTGTCCAAGATTCAAAGCATGACAAGTTTGAATTGTGTAATTCTTCAACAAGGTATTACAGAAATTGTTGAAGTACCATGAGCTAAATGAAAGTCTATTCCATTTAAGCTGAGCTAGTAAATTAAGGGAGACAATTGCAGGAAATGGCCTTTAGCATTGCTACTGTTACACAGGAAAAAGTCAAATACATTTGGTACTAGTATTTTTTGGAAGAAATGTTTCCTCTTAAATGGAGATGTGTCATTTCTCTTACTGAATTTGATGGATAGGTACAAAAACGGAACCTGTGTTTTGCACATTTGTTGATTGGCAGATTGTGTAACATATGTGAATAAATGGTATGGAAAAAGTGTGAAGCTGTGAACAGTGGAAAAAATATCACCAAGGAAAGAAACCTGACTGCTAAGTTCACTCCAGTATGGTCTAAGACCCAAGGTATCTGATGGCTAAATAGTGGTGGTGGGAAGAAAGAGATTGAAGGCAAAACGTTTCCTTTGATTTATCTGAGAAATTGAAACAATTGAGTTCATCAGCTTCAATCCATTAGGACTTAAAAAAAAATTATAGGGCTAATAAGGCTTAAGAAGTGACACAGCAATTTTAGATCAAGTTTATTGCTTAAGATGAAAGGAAGAAAATGTAAACAATTTGGAAGGAGGTCCAAATTTACATTTTGTATATGGAAAGAAAACATACTGAGAAATGGATAGTAGTTGTATTTTTGGTCATGTAGAGAATAGAATATTTGAAAAAAAATAAAAAAAAATAAAAAATGTGTATAGGGGAGTGGATTTAGAAGGATACCGAGGAAAAAAGAGTGAGCATTGGTAAAACTGGGAACACCTCTACCAAATTATTGCTGCATCAGCATTTTGAGTGCTCTGAGTGTGAACAGATTGCACTGTAGAACTGAAAAGAAAGACATTGCAAGAAATACTCCAGTCCTGTTTTTATTATTATAGCAATGGTGCCAGAGAGGAGAAGATACATTTGAGATAATATTTTAGGGAAGAAGTATTTGTAGAAAAAAAATCTGTGCTAATGTTAATCTTCTGTGATTATGGATACTTCAGATCTTGTTACTCATGATAAAAGCTGATATGTGCAGCTAGATTAAAATGTGTTTAATTACATTTGTTTTCAGGAGCTGGAGTTGTTCTTTCCCTCCAGTGGAGGTCGTGGACCAGTCAGCAGTGCCAAATTCACAAACTGTACTTGTTGCATTATTAAGCCTCATGCTGTTAATGAAGGTAAGCAATGCAGATAGCAGAGGAGAAAGCAGTATGTGTCCATGGTATCCATGACCATTCCTGTACCCTCTTTTTGGGAGGATGAGACTGTATGAGCACAGGGTGTATTTCACAATATGTGCAACTCTTGCAGATACATTGTCTTTCATACACATTTAGTATTTCTGCAGTTCATTTCTATGAAGAGTGAGTGGGTCATTTGCTTTCCATGCAAATATCTGTTCACTTCAGAATAAGAAGGGAGAGGCAAAAAAGAGAAGGATTAAAACCTATGTGAGGTTTGGCGTATCTTATTGAGACCACTTCCCATGTCCTTGCTCCTGTTTGCCCAGCACAGTCACCTGCAGGAGGTTAGCATCCTCCAAGAGAGTGAAAGCAGGGCACCTAGCCATGATCCAGGGCCCTCCACTCAGGCACTAGCACATCAGATTAAAATAACTCAGAAAGGGAGATTTGTGCTGTTGCAAATCTTCTGAATGCAGTGGGGACAGAAATTAGGAAAGGCTTGTTTATGAAAGTGAGCCAAAGACCTAAAGCATTTGGTTGATTCTGTGATGCTTTCTGTACTGGAGAGTGCCCTGGGAGTTTGAGTATTGGAAATGTTTAATGCTCTACTGTTACCATGCAAAAATGACCTCGCTTGTGTGTCCTGTACTTAGATCCAGGAGCATGTGTAGGAGCAGTGAGTGAAGTAAAATATTTTGACACAGGCACTGAAACAGTATTTTTGAATGCAGAATAAATATCAGCAGTAACAGTTTAGTCATGTTTTTCTTAGTAAGATGCAGGGCACACTGCAACATTCTAATCGCTTCTTTGTAGATAGCTTAAATGGAAACAGCAGAAGTGGCTGGAGCAGTTTCCAGGCCTTTCACACCTCAGGTGGGATGTCTGGAGAGCTTGCTGAAATTTAAAAAAAGGCTTTCACAAGAAGGAGTTTTGTGGTTGCTCCTGATAATGCGCTTGTTATCTCTTCCAGACCTTGCATGGTATCTGCTGCTGATAAGTTTGCCATGCAGCAAAGACACAGTGATGTTTCTTTTACAGAAATATGGGGAGCAGCTGGGACTCTGATTTTACCTAGCTATGTGTTTGCAGAGGACAAGCTTTTCTGTGGCAGGATTGTTAGGGTCCTTCATTTGAGTGTAAAAATAGAGAAGTAGATGGCTTGGACTGGCTTTTTTTAGACTTAAGATAAAATTTCTATTACATACAGAGGTTCAGACTCATCTTTTCCTATTTTTAATCTTACTCATCTCTGTAGTTTTCATAGTGTTCTGTCTGTTCCTTTTTTTTTTTCTTGAACTTTCTTAATTTTTCTGAGTTGCCAGAAGACAAATTGTGACCCTTTTTGCACATCCCTCTGGGAGTATGAGTAGGAGGGTGAGGGTGGTGGTGAGGGTAGGAGGAGGGGGAAGAGGTGGTGTGGATGTAGGTAAACAAAAAATGTATGTGCACATCCAGCTCTTTGCAGTGTGAGTGCTGGTCTTAATGTCCCCTATACAGTCCTGAGGTCTTACAGAGCCTCAGGTCTTAATGTTTCCTATATAGTCCTTTTTCTCACACCACAGAGGTCTGGAAAGTCAGAGGACAGCTGCCAAAAAACAACTAAAATTTGAAAGACAAAAAGTGCACTTTGTGTTCTCCCTCCAAGCTGCTGTGATTACTACCCTCAAAAACAAAGAAATCAGAACTTACTTTTCTATGTCACTTTATTATGGTTTAACTGCAGCTGGCCACCAAACCCCACACAACCACTCACTCACTTCTCAGGGACTGGGAAGAGAATCAGAGGAGTAAAAGTGATGAAACTCATGGGTTAAGATAAGAACAGTTTAGTAGGTAAAGCAAAAGCTGCACGCACAGTCAGGTAAGTGGAAACACAGCAGCTGGAGAGGAAAGGAGAACCTGTGTGGCCTTCAGTGGGAAAAGGTGGTTTGTCAAAGCCAGAGGCATGGAGAGAAAATCATGTGGGTCAAAGCATCAGAGCCTCTTTTGCATTGCAATTTTGATTTGTGCTCTACAAATTTTCAGTATTGAGTATCTAAAAATAAACCTTTTTGCAATTTCCTATGCATTGCTGAGGCTTTGAACTTGGCTATCTAATTACCATGAATATAAGCTACTCATTACATGTTTACAATTACATGAAGTTTCACTTACGTACTTCAGTTTATACGGAGATTTAGTTTTTATTTTTTTAGAGACATTTGGCTGAATTAATTATTTGAATTTTGCTTTTTGGCCCTTTTCCTCAGTGTTTATTTTTCCTCCAGAGTCTGTTGTTGCATAACTGATTCTTAGAAGGAAAAATCTTCCTGATTTTCTGTCCTGGAAGATGATTTGCTTTAATGGCAGCTGTAAACTAGGGTGCTTTTCAGTGAGCTTAACTTGCTGACAAAATGCTGGATGTAATCTCCAGTTTATGCTAGTTAATTCTTGGGCACAGTACTCTCAGGAAATGACTTTGATTGCCACAGCTGGCCTTTCCAGTGATATAGTAGAGGAAAATCAGTGTTGGTTTTATCTCTGGCCTTGCTGCCTCTCTTCTGACGGATGTACAGAAGTGTCAGGTCCTAGGCAGCCACAGCAGCACAGCCCAGCCAACCACAGTGGGACCTGGTGCAGTGCCCAGGCACCTGAGAATTCCTGTAAGCAGGATTGTCAGCATGTCTGCCAGGCTGTAGGGGAACCCTGGCCTGATAAAGGGTCTTGGGGGACTAAGGTGAAGTTTAAGCTCAGCTGTCAAGAGTGTTGGTAATGCTGGCATCGCTGGCCCTCTAGGAATGTGTGCCATGCACATCTCTTAAAGAAGTCAGGCCATAGCTATTTTGTGTCTGGTGTTAGCATAACATCTTCTGTAGAGAGAGGATCAGAAATGGATAGGCCGTGGAAGGCAGTGTAGCCCAGAGCTCTGGACTAGACAGCTTTAGCTCACTGGTGACAGCTCCCAGTGGAGATGGAGACCTTCCTTCTCTGGCTGGCAGCAGTGAGGTGAACTCTGAAGAGGCTTTGCAAGAGCAGTCCAGTTCCTCTTCACTGAGAGCTAGAAGAATGCAAAAGCAACCGGATGCTGCTCCAAGCAAATTTGTTGTGACCAGGGTTGCATCAGGGAGACGTGATGTGGTTTATCCCCTCTAGAATCTGTTAAGTTCTCGGTGTCTTTCAGTTTCCTCCTCTTCTGAGACCAGTTTTCAGTCAAGGAGGATGGTAACTAGTGAGCACAGCTCTAGGATTGTATGGTTAATTTGTTTAATAATTTGAAATTTTTAGTGTGGGTCTGTGTTCTGTAATCCTCCTGCTTCATGGGGTTCTGATTCTGGAGATAAATGATCATAGTTGCAATCACTTAAGTATTCTCTTTTTGCCATTCCCCTCATGTTAGTAGATCTGGATGTATTAGCACTAGTGCCCAGAAGCCAAATGTAAATTCTCCAGAATGGATAAACATCAGTTTAATGCCCTTAGGACAGTTATGATTCGACTGTTTTGTGAGCAGAAATAGCACCCGAGTGGGATTAACTTTTAATATTTTTATGTGTAACAGTTTAGTCATGTTTGCTGTAGGAAGTAGACTTTAGTATTTTTGTGACGGGTTTAAAGTTTCTTTGATGTTTCCTTGGAAAATTAGCAGGCGAAAAATTTTGAAATATAGATGATCAGGCTGTAAAGGCTGAGGTCAGAAGTGTGTAATATGCAAACTGAAAGCCCTGCCTAGAGGCAAGGAAGCCTCTATGGTTTTGAGAGGTCCTAGGCATGAGACTGACTACCCAGACAGGTTTGTTCTCCTTGTATGTGTTAAGCTTGAGATTTTTTTCTAACATTTCTGGTAAGTTAATTCATTTTTCCTCTTAATTAAAAAAAAAATAGTGCTGTCTTCCACAGTATTCTTCAACTAAAGACAATTCAAATCTCATAGAAAATAAAAGGAACAGGAATATCTTCTTGCCAAATGGAAAAGATATTGTGTGGAAATGTGTTTTTAGACCAGTTCTGAGTGGATGATAAAACTTAGAGACCTTATAAAACTTATATTAACTTATAAAACTTATATTAACTTAGTAGCTAGCAGACAAGCTACTAAGCTTGTATAGAAAGTTGTATAACTTTACATTGATTAACAAAACGTTGCACGACAGGAAATCGTAAGAATCTTATTTCCTTCTTTATTCAAAGGCAGAAAAATTCCAATTGAAAGAGTAGTTTGTAGCTCCAAAGACAAATCTAAATGTGATGAAAAGAATACCAAGGATGGTAGTTCAGACTCAGGCAGGTACAGAAACAAGGTTTACTTATGTAGAATCTCAAGCAAATTTACTGTACAGGAGAGAGTGAGGAGAGGACTGTAGAGCATGGGAATCCAGCATTGTAGTGGATTATCTGACTGCAGACAGCTGAAGAACTGTCCTGACACACAGTACACTTGTTGCTCTTTGAAAGAGAGAAGGCATTACTATGAAAATGTCCAGTTCACCTCCATATAATGTTACTTACATTGTGTGTAGTTAGGAAATTGAATAAGCTGGAAAAGAAAGAGGATGATATAGTAGAGATACAAACATATTATCATTCTCAGCATGACTTACCTATTTTATAGTTTTTTCTCAAGGCAATTTGTATTCATTAGATACAAAAACTCTGGAAACTGTTATCATTTTTTTTCCCCTTTGAGACATATGTTTGAATAATTAAGTGTTTTTATTTTCAGGAGACCTAGAATTAGAACAGGGTTTTCAGAAAACTGCCTTGAGAAAAAATGAGGAGTCCAATTTTCTCATAAGTTATCTGAAAGTACATCTTCTGTCTGTGATAAGTGTGCAGATAATAGAAAGGTGACTGTTTGAATAATTAAGTGTTTTTATTTTCAGGAGACCTAGAATTAGAACAGGGTTTTCAGAAAACTGCCTTGAGAAAAAATGAGGAGTCCAATTTTCTCATAAGTTATCTGAAAGTACATCTGTCTGTGATAAGTGTGCAGGTAATAGAAAGGTGAAGTGCAG